TTCACCCACTACCAGTATCTTGTCACAATTTCTGTAGCATTGTCTAATCCATTGCTCAATTCCTTGTACTAAAAAGTGCAACACCAATGCTTGTTTTACAGATTTAGGAGCACAACGAATGGGAGTAGCTTCCACAAGGGACTTTCCCAAACGACCAAACTGCCCAAATGAATAAGGAAACAAAATCTGAAATGAAATTTGTTCTATGCGGAGGCGCGAAGCTCTTCTGTTCTACACACCAGAAGACCTCCTAGCAGTTCTGGTGGGTTGTTCGGGTTGCACCAGAACTGCTCGAAGGCCTTACAGCCTTTAAATGCCCCGCCGCGTTCGGTTCCTTTAATGCGTCTTTATCATTAAAAAAGCTAATAAGTATTCAAAATAAGTTTATCAAATATTTTTATCATAATCTGAAAAAAAAACTAATATAGAGTTATGTATGTGTTGAATAAAACAAAGGCTAGGAAATTATTATTATATTGAACCTTTGAGATTTTGCCTTGTAGATTTGAAGTGGTATTCCTTGAAAGGCTCTGGCTTGTGGCTACCAATTGCAGTTGCTGCAGGAATAGTACAAATTCTTCATAATCGTCTTCTTCCTGTGAAAAGATTACCCAATCATCATCTTCTTCATGAGCAATTGCCTCCAAACCCTGAGTTATCTGCTCCATCATCAGCTTTCTCTTGCTTCTCTTCTTCATTCTTCTTAAAATCATTATTAAACCGTACAATTTTAATTGTATTATAAACGAGGAGTTTATATGAAGTTTAATTTGTTTGATTATGCTAAAACGAACGCCACCTTGTTTAAAACAGAGGAACAGTTAATGCCATGTTATTATGGCTTATCACCATAATCAATGCATAGCTTTGTCTCTTACAGTCCTCCATTCCTCCTTAATTGCATGATTTAGCTTTGCAAATGCACACTTCATCATTAGTCAGTTTTGTCCCAAATCTATGCACTGTACCGTCAATACGTATTTTAATTAAGTATTCTATGCAATTCATTCACAGGCAATGAGGGTGTTAAATGAGGGTCGACCACTTTCAGCGTTTTCACTCAGTGAAAAAGTTGGTCGGTAAATGGGGATCTAACATTTTGGACAATAACACTGAAAATGGAAACGCTGCAAATAAGAGAGTTTTGAAATATGACGTTTCGTATTGATTTAATGGCCAAACAACTAAATTAACAAACATCTTCTCACAATCTGCCAATTTATTCTGTTAGTCAAATCCGCTGACCGGATCCACTATTGGCAACCCGCTAACATAATCTGCTATCCGCTAACCGCTAAATACCAAACACGCTTAATAGCTGATATATATGTGAGAATCTGAAAAATATATAAACAGGTGGTGTATATGTATTACTACCTCCGTCCCACTAAGTTTGGGACAATTCGGTTTACGATGCTTGACCGACGATAAAATAAACAGACACCGTCCTCCGCACTCAAATTATTTTTAGAAAAAAAAATACATATTCAGAAATTACATATAAAGCTTTACAAAGTCGCAAAAATCAGAATCAAATTTGATAAAAAATTGATATAAAAAAAGAGATTAAAAGTGATTTATATGACCAAGTGAATAGTGTTTGAGATAATTTTAACGGGACGGAGGGAGTACTTCGTACTATTTTCAACTACAAAGCAAATAAAATTCATTTATTATAATGTTGTTTTTTTATTCTCGTACCTATTTAGACCATTTTCACTTTACCATTACTTTTTACGCAGTATGTACTACCCCCTCTGTCCCAATTTGTTTTGCAAAGTCAACATTTTTTTGTCAACTAATAATAAAAGTCAATCTTCCCTACTGATAATTAATTCATTTTTTTATAATTAAAATTTACCTATTCAGAAACTACGTTAAAATCTCTTCAAAGTTGTAAACTCCAAATTAAAATATAATTAAAAATTGACATCCTAATCTAGCGAATAAACAAAACTATTTGACCAAGAAAAGTCAAATTTACAAATCAATTTGGTCATCTTACGTAATAAGTTCTCGAACTAACCGAAAAAGTGCAAATCACCCCTCTTAGAGGAGGTTCTGTCCGGACGTCACCATTTGGGGCGGTTCCCGGTGGAATTTTTTTATTACATTTTTGAGCATCTTTTTCATTAAGTCTAGTTTACTCATATCAAATTTCAGCTAAAAATGCAAATGTGAAGGCAATCAAATAAATGTTTGAAGATAACTGCACAGTTAAACATCACAGTATATTTCAAAAAATCATTTGTCTGTCTTCCCGTTTGAATTTTTAGCTGAAATTTGGTATGGGTAAACTAGACTTCATGAAGATCTTAAAAAAATTATCAAAAAATTCCAACGGGAACCGCCCCAAATGACGACGGCCGGACAGAGTCTCCTATAAAAGGGATGATTTGCACTTTTTCGTTTAGTTCGATGGCTTATTTGCACCTTTTTGTATTCAACATTACTTGCATTAATTAATTAAGCTATTACCATCACAATCAAAAAAAATATTAACAGAATTAGCAAAAATATTAATTAATTAATGAAATCCTCGTTGAAGTGGTTGCATTGACTGATTCTGTTAATTTGAAAAATAAAATAAAATATGATTTATTAATAAAATAAAATATGAGTTATATGAAAAAATAGCTAAAATGGTTTTCTACAGTAACCTCAGCCAATACAACAAAAAATATAACTTCAACCTTACATTTTCTTATTATTACACAAATCAGCGCGTGAAATCAAAAGTTACGTGTTTGGTGAAAAGGTTAATCGATAAGTCTGAAAAGCCAAAAATTATGGTTACCAAACGGGCTCTTAGTCTTCTAATTACTGCCAAATTGACATTTTTAGTCCTTCCACTAGCATTCTGTCACAATAAGTAGAGGATTAATAATGTTACTATGATTGTAGTTGATTTATCAAATGTGTCACTTTTATGATAGACAAATGACTAAATATGAAAACTTTCACGAATAACACAATAGATGAAAAACTAAAAGTGAAAAGATTTAAGGTCAAGGACCAAAATTATCACTCTGAGAAAACAAGTGACTAAAACTTTCTTGTAAAACGCCTAGGTTGATTGTCCTTTCAAAGTTTGGTAATTTTATGATGAATAATGTGAGAAACTTAAAGTATGCCGAACAGTGAATATCTCAAATGTTCCCTAAAATTGGAGTTTTTTGCTATCTAAAATGACATGCTATAACAAGTCATTTTGTATAAATTTGATAGGTCACTTGTTTTTTCGAAGTGTACTTTTACGTTGAATAGTATGAAAAAAATTGAGAACATGCTCGAGCAATGTTGATATGTTGAACTTTCCTTGGAATTAGGGATTATGTTGCTATTACAAGAAACAGAAAATAATTTAAATACCCCAAATTTGCACATGTAATATAAATACAACAAAGTTTATAAGAAACTTATCTTAGCACCATCATAATATGTTTTTTCTTTCACAAATGTAAATTTATATTTTATAGTGTTAAAATATAAAGTTAAAAATTCTTTGGACATTTAAAAGGATAAAATTATTATCTAAGCTTCAATATTTTAATTAAATAACATTAACAAATTAGTTTATGATGTTAATTGCACACTAAAAAATGCTTAGAATATTTATATTATTTACTCAAAACTATAAATTTGCATTTGTGAAAGAAATAACATATGGCCATGATGGTAACATAACTTTTTATATAAAGTTCGGGGTACGTATATCAGTTATGCAAGTTGGGGTGCTTATCTCACATATCTCAAAAGTTCGGACTATTTAAATTATTTTCACCTTAGATGAAAGCACCGTAAAATGGCTAGTTCGATTGTTTTTCCAAATTTTGCAATTTTTAAGAACAATAATGTGAAAAACATATATAATGTTCTCAAGTAGTGTGGACATGTGAAATTCCCCCGAAGTTAGTGTTTATTATTATGAAAAATGATATGCTATAAAAATTCATATCCTATAAATAGATTGGGTCGGTTTTTTTCAAAATTTGCTATTGTCTTATATCGAATAATATGAGAAAACTAGAAAATGTGCTCAGGTAGTGATGGACTCGGGCCGGGTGGCCCGACCCGGAACCGGCCCGGGACCGGTACTGTTCCGGCCCGGCCCGACCCGGTGGCCCGGTCAGTGACCGGTCCGGGTAGGCCCGGCCCGTGGGTTTTCCGGTCCGGGCTCGGGTCACCCAAAATAAGGCCCGACCCGGCCGGGCCCGGGCCCGGTTCGGGCCAAAAACTATTTTTATTTTCAATTTTTTTTTAAATTTTTGGGTTGGGCTGGATATTTTGGGCCATTTGGGGTGGTTTGGGGGTTGGGGGTGGGAGGGGGTTAATTAGGAAGAGGAAAACAAAAAAAAATATAATGGGAATGTCCCGGGTCGGACCCAATGGTTACCCGGGCCGGTCCCGGGTCCACCATTTCTGACCCGCCGGCCCGTCCGGGCCTAGGCCCGACCCAGACCCGAGTCCATCCATATGCTCAGGTGGTGTGGATATGTGGAATGTCCACCAAAAATAGGGTCTCTTTATTTCGAAAGAATAGTGTGCTAAAGCAAAATGTGAAATGGCAAAGTCAATTGTTTTTTCAAAGATTGATATTCTCTATTTCTCTAGACTACATAGTATGGTTTAAGAAAGTGGGTTTGGTTGGTACTGTTTGACACTGTTTGCACACTGTTTGACACTGTTTAGCACAGTTTTGCACTGTTTTGTTTGCCAAAAAAGGAAAAGGAACTTTTATTTAGGAACGACCCGAAAAGGAAACAAATGCTTTTATTTAGGGACGGAGGAGTACAATGTGATAGGAAAAGATATGTAAAACTGGGAAAAAATCACTCAAACTGAAATTTGGCAAACAAACCTAGAGTTGTGATTTTGATCAAATCACTCAAATATGGTGTGATAGGGCTTCTGTTTGCTCAAATCTGCGACTTCAACCTTATGTTGGGGTTCTTAAACAAATCAAGAAAACCTTTCTAAGTAATTTTTGACACTAGGATGTGGAATAGTATAAGAATAATAGGAAATGCTATCATGCAATGTGAGTATGTGAAATTTTCTACCAAATTTGGGTTTTTGTCATTACAAATATTTTGAAGTGGAAACAAACTAGGACTATCATGGTATAGATTTGATTTAAACAATTCATTAAGCAAGATAATCAATGGCTCATTGATCCCTCTTCCTTTCAAGTGAATAATGTGATGAAGCAACACCATTTTTTGATGATTCGTCCTCCAAGTAAGGAACAACATACTTCTTCATATCACTTTTTGAAATCCCGAGGTGGTTTCCTGACACATTCACAAACTTCACCCTCCCAGCATCATCCAATGCTTTCAAACCAATCCAGTCCTCGATATACAGGCGTGTCTGTGAATATAGGAAATGACAGTAGGGAAGGGATAACTGATTAAACTTCTGAGCTGAAAATTTTGAAATAGATGAATCAAATAAAATAATATATGGTCCTAACAACTGGACTATATCAAGCACATCTTAGAAGATACGGGACCAAATATGCACTTTCCGAATTTGTAAAGGTAACTTTGAACATTAACTTTTGTAGATTGGGAACATCTTCAGTTTTGGTATATGTGTTACTTGCATAATTTCGGTTACAACACTGTACCAACTTAGAAGGAATACCTACCTGCTGTGGGGGCAACACTGGTTCAAAAGCACCATCTGGATAATATCCAAACCATGACGTTTCTTTTGGTATCAGGACAGTGTCATGCTCAAACTGTCATCATGCCAAAAACAAATGGAATATGGATGAAATCGTTGGATCTCCTGTATTTTCTTAGAGGAAAAGGGTTTGGCCACCAAAAAGAGCCTTAAGACAATTGTTAAATCAACAAATACATTGCTAAGATGAAAACCACAAAGATAAGACAACGCTTTAACAAACCATGATGAGAACAAGATTCTGCAGACTGCTGAACCGTTCCTTGTAAGTGTAATTTTTCTGATCAGGGAGTTCATTGTTAAGCTTGGGAAGAAATCGACACTTTTCCAAGTAGCCAGGAATATTCTGGAGGACACATACAAGCCACTATTTCAGAATCCCAACGTCTATATTATGGATATACGCTGGAAGTCCAGCCCCGTACAAATTTGCCCCATATTTCCGGCATTTTTTGGAATTACAATCTTTCTGTGAATTGAGGTATTACTTTTGGATCAGCTTTTTTACACCAAAGATGATTGTGAACTTTATTGTGGGACAACAAAAAATACAAGTGAGAACCTTCCTCCGGGATAGAGAACTAGATATTAAATTATTAATTAATTAACAAAATAATAATAACAATAATCCGCCACAACTTAAGTGCCATACTCGTAAAACAAGGCAAGCTTGCAGGTATTTCCGACTCAGTTTTTATACAATTTAGATTAATACGTGAAAACGGAACTTTTAAAACTAAATCAAAAGTTCTATAAAGCAGCCCATGAATAACAAAGGAATAAAACAAGACTGAGGGAGTAATGGTGATCAGTATTGTTATTCTTATTTGTAAGTGCTCATGTTTGAGAACGCTGAAAATTCGTAGCACATATTCGATCATATATCACAAGGTAATAAGTTTCTCTAACGATATGAGACAGGAATTCTGCTAAATATTTGTTCCTATTCTATCTAGTATTTGATAATCACCATACTATACCAATTGTAAAATTCATATTTACTTACATTTGGAAGCTTCAGGTATCCACTGGGAGCCAAGTGACTCTGCAATGAAGAGATACTTCAGATCCTAGAATGAGTTCAGAGCTGTGCCCCAACAATATAGTGTAATGTAGAAAATAGTCAAATAGATGTGCTATACCTGAACATAATCAGAGTATACTTCAGATTTTATCAGTGCATCCGCCATCATGCAAAAGATGCCAGACTGCAAAAAGAATATGATATCAATTACAATATCAAGCACACCAAGGAGCTATTTATCTAGTTATCAGTCCACTTTTAAAAAAATTGATGTCCTTTTTATTTGACTATTTCCTACAGAATTGATGTCCTTTTTATTATCTAGTCAATAGTTATTTGACTATTGACTACATACAAGGAATACCGATTGCTTTAATTCTTGTTTTGTCCTTCAGAATCAAATATGGAATACATAGGAAAACATAAAAGTGAATATAAATATATTTTATTAATTATGTAGTAAGGTTAGATAAGTTGTGATAAGGTTACATAAATCTGGTAAGGTCAGTTAAGTTGTGATTGATTAATAATCTTTTGCAATACGTAGTATGAGATTTAGATAACCTAATAGGCGATCATATAGCAGCAAAAATAACACTTTATTTGTTTTTAGAAACATTCTATTTATCAATATATAGATTAAGCAGTCAAAGGCCTTTCCATCTAAAACTCTCAAAACCCTCCATCAATCAAGCCCTTCAGATGTAGACAAGAATTTGCAGAAGAGTATGCATGACTGAACAAAGCATAGTGATCGTGAATTACAAGCAGTTTTTTATAAAATCCTAAAAAAAATAGTTGTGAATAGTAAAGCATCGATTTACCCCACAGAGAGGAACTGAAGCAGTACCGGCATGAGGTCCTCCCAAGGAAATAAAATTCTTAACCTGTACGGAAATGGAAATAAGTAGCACGACCCTCCACCAAGAAAAAAAAGTGAAACAAAGAGATAAAATTCACAAAAATTTCAACAATTGAGAATATCAAATGATCAATTTAAATATGGTTTTAACAGAAATGCATTCATCGATAGGATTAAATAGTCAAAGGCTGTAAAAAGAAATAATTTTAAAAAGGCAGCAACTTAACGGTGTATTAAATAATCTTACACAATTGCCATCATAAATTTGAACATATCCGTAGCTCAATTCTCTCCTTTGATTGATAAAGTTACGGATTATCTAAATGCTTGGAACCCTAAGACTCTTTCTTATGCAGGTAAGGTTGAATTGATCATATCTGTCATGCAAGGAGTGCAAGCTTTTTGGCTTGGGATCTTCCCTATGCCGAGGGCCATCCTTGATAAGATCACCTCGATGTGTAGGTTGTTTCTTTGGGGAAGTAAGCATTCGAAAGTTGCTTGGTGTGATGTATGTTTACCTAAGAGTGAGGGGGGTTTGGGGGTTAGAGATACAAAGGTATGAAATAATGCCTTACTATCTCGCACTCTATGGAACATACATTCTAAACATGATTCTTTATGGGTGAAGTGGGTCCATGGAGTCTATCTCCAAGGGAGAGATGTGTGGACCTTCGTTCCACACACGAAGGACTCTAGACTTATGAAGGCTTTAGCTAATATTCGAGACCTAATACTTTCTAAATTCCCTTCTTTAGGGTTGGCCGTGACGTTCCTTGAGAAGAGTTCCCTAAATGGAAAGCTCTCGTCCTCAAAGGTGTATGAGCTACTTAGAACCAAAGGAAATATCCATCCTTGGATGTCTTTCATTTGGAAAAACTACATTCCCCCAAGTTCTCGTTCTTTACTTGGCTAGCCTTCCGAGGGCGGTTAGCCACGTATGACAGCTTGGGATTTTTAGATGTTATTAATGTATGTCCTTTTTGCAAGGGTAGCCCGGAAACGGTGCCACACCTATACTTTGAATGTGCATTTACAGGGCAGGTATGGACGTTGCTGAGGACTTGGCTTGGATTATCAAGAAGGATGGGAACACTTTTGAGTGCGGCCACATGGATAAAGAAAGAGCATAATGGAGCACATGCAAAGGCCAAAGGAATTCGGCTTGCTTTTTGTTATACCGTATATTGGATATGGCGCGTGCGGAACATGATTTGTTTTGAGAACATTCAAACTACGGTGGAAGACATGGTCAAGAACATAAAGTTCATGGTGTATAAAGTTCTCTATTCTATGTATCCATTCGATAGAATAACATTATAAGTTTTTGCTGTTTCGTTACCGGTTTTTTGTGATGGCTAACATGTATATGTAGCTAGATGTGTTTTTTTTGTGAGGTGATAGGGTATCCTTTCTTGGGATGACCTACTTTTGATGTTTTGCTATTGTACAGCTGTACATAAACACTTTGGATATATATATTTACATTTTATCCAAAAAAAAATAATCTTACACAAGTATATCATTGAATAATCTGATATACCAAAATGAACTGTAATATATAATAAACTTAGAAAGCCTCTTTTAAAATTGGGATCAATTTAAAATATAAAAAACTCAAATTAGAAAGAGCCTTCCAATTAAGTTCTTACAGGTGGACCTCCATCACAGAATTCCACAACACCTCGGCCTATTAGGTTTCCCTGCATGAATAGCATATAAACAATAAATGACTATCCACATATATAAACAATAAAGAAAACCTTTTCGAGACTTAGTTCTAAAGCTGGAAATTTTCTATTTTCTTTTAAACATCTATAAATTTTTTTAAATTAAAAGAGGCGTGCATTTCCATCATTTTCAATGGAGCCAAATACTCACTATTTTTTGGCTTGGGAATATGATGGAATAAAGCAAAATGGCTCACTAAACTGTCTGCGCTTCTTTGTTATGATTCAACAGTCGGTACATACAATTTTCGATGTGATATTCATGGATCATCCGGAAAAAATCTCTATGTGCTTTAGTACAGGGGTAAAGCTGCGTACATCCGACCCCCCTTACCCCACCGTAGGTGGGAGCCTTTGTGGCACTGGGGGGTAATGTTGTTGTTGTAAAAGAGGCATGCAAACTAAGATAACAAATTAAATTTTGATATAAATATATGCAGATCAGTCTTTAACCTGGGAGAGGCCAACAATGTTGTAACCTTGTTGTAGTTCTTTCATTTCCTTCACCTGTTCTCCAATTTTGAGCTCAGGTGAGTATATCAACTTTAAAGATCAAGAGATCACCATAAAAAGAATGCAATGATTTTCCACCTTTTTACACACAACTTCAGCCTGCATTTCAAACAAAATCAAACTATCACCCTTCTTAAAAATTCATTATGAATCCATAATGAGAATAGAAATCAATCATATTCTGGAGGCTCTGTTTTTACCTGGCTTTCTAGAGTTGTAAACCATGAATCCCAGAATCCGTCTCCTACTTCTCTGAAAGTTAGAAAGTTGATAAAGATTATCCATTATGCAGAAGAATGCCAAATTATCATCTTGTAAGAACTAGGGTTCCATGATTGCTGCACTCACCCATTAAAAATCCACAGAAACTCTTTGTGTTTTCTTTTTTCATTAACAATTGAGGTTCCGTTTTAAATGCAATCCAATGAGAGGAAAGCTCAATACTTTATGCACTGATTTACATCTTTATATTGGACCATGGTCAGATGATTGACTTGACCAGTAGGATGGTGATTTGTATAAATCTTGAAGTCGATTTGCTCTTATTTAGACGCCGGATCAAATTGGTAATTTGAAATTAATGCATTCCTATATTACATCAAGAGTTGAGGTTCAATTGTAAAAGTACTACAAATATGGTAGCTCAAAGATTTATACAACTATATTATACGGAGTATTAAGATTTAGGGTTTGGGGTTCAATTTCTTAGTTTTAGAAGTCCTAGAAATAGGGGTAATCAGTGTGCAATGCTGAACCACCAAACATAGCCTTAATCCCAAATCACTGGGTTGGCTGATTCCAAAGGAAGGCTGGACTGAGCATAAACTTCAAAAAGAGAGTTTTTTCTCAACCATTTTAAAAGAAAGGAAAAAAACATACACGCAGTATCCATCGGATCTGGACCATTCAGTTAGCTCCTCTGTAAACTGTTTCACACCTTTGTTTGAGCACTGATCCCCAATTCCTACCATTACAGACCTCACATTAACCCAAGTGTCATCCAAAAGAGAACTTAATTGACGAAAAATAAGGACTTTATTGTATATTGAAAAGAATGTTGATTACCATGAAGTACGATGAAGGGAAGAGAATACGCGAAAGAAAGCAAACAAAAGGCAGAAATAACGGAGATTGCAAAGCCCAGTGAATTCAAGAACAACGACGGAGACCAAGTGCGAGCCATAAATTCTTCTCCCCGGAAGATACGATTCTACCCGGACTGTCGGAGCTTTGCTGCCATTCAGAAAACTAGAAACAAAATTTGGTATGGTTTGACTGTTAGCTGATGTGTTCGCCCAGTTCTTGAACTTCTTAACCCGTAATCTTTGGATTAAACCAATTAATTATGAAAAATAGTTGTACTTGAACACAGAATTAGGAGTGTAATTTAAGATTCTGGTCTGGTCTAGTCTGAACTGGTATGCTCTGATTTCTTTGTGTTTTTATAACCATCATACGGCTCACCAACTTCACTTGCCTCTATGGAGGCTCGAAAGGCACTTGACTGATAAGGAAAGGAGGGACTTATCCATCATCTCTATCCGGGTACGATCTCATTCATTTGTTGAACCTTGGGCCCTTCATATGGTCCAGCCCGATGGGGCAGGTAGTTCCGGTGGAGAAGGTCCATCAGGCCATTTTGGGTCTTTATCCGCTTGATTAAGATAGTTCTCCAGGAGTTTACAACTTCCCAGTTCAATTATTAGTTGTGTCTCTTTATTACCAGCAAAACTCACTCGCGGGGGGTATTTTAGTTATCGGTTCTATAGGAAGTGGACGATCCTATTTGATCCAGCAATATCGCGTGATTGAAGAAGGGCAATGCCGCTTGTAAAGCTCTTTCGTCTGACCTTACAATGCCTTGTAGAAAGCATAGCCTCATTGTTCACTCACTGATCTACGACTGATATAGGGCCTACCTGGTAGATCCCGCTCTAGCTAGTTCCTTCGGAAGCTTTGAATCGTAGTCTTTCATATCTTTCTCGGCTGCCTATAGTAGTCGACCTAACCAAAGCGTCACGACAACATCAAATTTGCCTTATGAATTGAGAATCTTCAGTAGACGAGAGTTTCGCCTTTCGCGTAGGGCCAGGCCGAGTCAGAAAGGCTTTGATGACTCAAGGTTCTTTCTCATTTGGATCCCAAGTCAAAATTAAGAAGGGGTAAAGCTCTGGCCTAAGCATTGAGCCTGGAGACATCTACCGAGTCTCCCCTCTCTCTAAAATAGCTAGAGTTTCTTTCTGCTTTTGTACTTTCCACTGCTTTGCTTCTTCCTAGGGATGAGGTCTCGCTAATCCCCCTTCCTTTCCGCTGTCGGTCCGGCCCGGATGATGAAACTGAACATACATTGCATAAGGACCGCCGTTGTATAACCATTCATCAACGATACCCGGTGCTCCAGTTTCAACTTACCCAGCTTAGTGGAAGAGATTACTTAATTCGGGAGAGGGCTTCCAAGAACCACGGAGTCGGTATCGGCGCTGTTCACACGTCTTGGTGAATAAGCTGTGATCACTCTACGACTTTCTGTTCAGCACGCTAGCTTGGCTATGAAGTTCGTTTGACTTTCACTTTCTTTCACTTAGAGTTGATAAACGAAATGAGTTAGGGAGGAATTACAGTTCAAATAAAAACATCATTAGTATACGAATTGTATACATAATTTTATATCAGAATACCTGTGTATAATTTATGTATAAATTTTGTGTACCCAAAAATGATTTATTAATTATTATGAAGAGAAACGAGTTGTATTCCATGTCCACAAAAACAAAGTAGAACTCTCGGTCACCCAATCCTTTCTTTATCATGCTAACGATTTGATTGAAAATTTGTGAAGTAAAAAGGATGGCATTTCAACACATTTTTATAAAATTTTAACTTTCCTAGACTATTACTAATTAATAATGCGGAGTATGAAATATTATAGAAAAGTAAACATTCATAGGATGAGTGTCTTGTTTATTTAACAATATAAAATTATTATAAAATGACACGTTACTAACACTACAAAAAAACTCGCCCTTTGTCACGGATTTTTGTCACGGATTACGGGCGTGACAAAGTTGTCACGGGCTTTGTCACAGAATATTGGGATTTTTCACGAAAATGTTTTGTCACGGATAGGTCCGTGACAAAATCCGTGACAAAATATTGTCACGGATTTGGTCTGTGACAAATTTACTCCGGCGACCGGTTTTTTACTCCGGTGAACACTTTTTTTGCTTCCGGGCATTTGTCACGGACTGTTCCGTGACAAATCCGTGACAAATTTCAAAAAAACTTTGTCATGGATCCATCCGTGACAAAATCCGTTACAAACCTCAATTATTGATTTTCCAGCGGTAACCGTTAATAATACGGTACGGAAAAAGAGTTGTCACGGATAAATCCGTGACAAATCCGTGACAAACTTTTTTATATAACTCAACCCCATCGTCCATTACAATTGCAAGAACAACAATTATCAGTTCAAAAATTCGTAGATTCGAGTGATGTAGTATCGGTTTAAAGATTGAATGATGTAATCCGTCAGTTCATCATTTTCCCAGTTTATGCAGATAAGGTATGTCATTTTAACTAATTTCTTTTAATTGTGTAATAAATTAATAATTAGCTTAATAATTAATTAGTGAGGTTAGGATTCTTTTTTCTTTATATAATAATAATTAATTATTAGCTTAATAATTAATTAGTGAGGTTAGTTGTTCATTTATTTAAACTATTAACGTAATTTAGTGAGGTCATGTTAATTTTCATATATATTATTAACAATATATTATTAAACTATTAACGTAATTTAATTAGTTAAATTTAAATATAAATATTAATTAGTTATTGTGATGCATAATATAGCTAGGATTAGGCCGGTTTGTTTAATTAATTAGTTAAATAATGAGTTTATATCACCAATGATTAGACCGGTTTGTTTATTAATTAGCAATTATTGTTATTAATGCATAATTTAGGATGTGTAGTGATGATTTAAGTATTAGCTAGCTTATTATAGATTAATTAATTAGTGACTTGTAGTGATTTAATTAAGTTAGCTAACTTAATTATTAGGTTATTAATTATCACCAATTATTATTTATTAGCAATTATTGTTAATGGGATGCATAATATAGCTAGCTAGGATTGAAACTTTATTATTATTTAGTTTAGTGTGAATTATTATTGTGAATTATTAATGAGATAATATTTAACAATAATATTAGTTAAATGTAAACTAATTAACTAATTAATTAAGTTAAAACATTGAGGAAATGGGTAGAATTTGATGAGTTGATAATATTAGTTAGATTTAAATATTAGTTAATTGATCAATGATGATGATTAGGTTTAATTTGTTTATTAATTAGTTATTTATTGTTAATGCATAATTTAGGATTTGTAGTGATTTAAGTTAGGATTCAAACTTTATTAGTTAAGTGTGAATTATATATTATTGTGAATTAATGATATTTAACAATATTAGTTAAATGGAAATTAACTAATTAATAAGTTAAATTACTTAATTATTGTTAATGGGATGCATAATATATATAGCTAGGATTGAAACTTTATTATTATTTAGTTTAGTGTGAATTATTATTGTGAATTATTAATGAGATAATATTTAACAATAATATTAGTTAAATGTAAATTAATTAACTAATTAATTAAGTTAAAACATTGAGGAAATGGGTTTAGAATTTGAGTTGATAATATTAGTTAGATTTAAATATTAGTTAATTGATCAATGATGATGATTAGGTTTAATTTGTTTATTAGTTAATATATGTTAATGCATAATTTAGGATTTGTAGTGATTTAAGTTAGGATTCAAACTTTATTAGTTAAGTGTGAATTATATATTATTGTGAATTAATGATATTTAACAATATTAGTTAAATGGAAATTAACTAATTAATAAGTTAAATTAGTTAACTTTAGTATTGTGAATAAATGCCATTAATTAACGTAACGTAATAACTTTAATTAGTATTATATGTTAGTTAATTATTTAATGTGTACTATTAGATTTTCATAATTTTAGTATTGTGAATAAATGCCATTAACGTAATAATTTAGTGTGTTTGGTGCACAAATTCTAATATTGTGAATTAGTTAATAATTAAAACGATTAATGCCATTAACATATTACTATTAGTTAAATATTAGTAAATTATTAATTCCGGCCAGCTTAATGTTTCTAAATAATATTTTAGTGGGCGTTTCTACATGATTGAAAAGTTGGTTAATTCAAATTATTAATGTCAGAAATAATGTACTGCTTTTAGTTAATTAATAATATTAATGTACTTATATAATATTTTGATTATAATATATATATACAGGCATAATGTATAGACAAAACAGAAGTTGGATGTACCAAAAACATCGCGATAACTATGGAATATGCAGTTAATGTTTTAATGGTGTTGAAGATTTTATTAAATTTGCACAAGAACAGAAGAATTATATGGATGACGATAAAATCAGATGTCCATGTACAAAGTGTAAAAATCTTCAATTTAAAGATGTCGACCAAGTTGTGTGAGTTTTTGTACGAAAAAGGTTTCGTTGCCAATTATTATAATTGGACTTCTCATGGCGAACCTTTCGATCCATCACTTTTACCACAAACAGTAGGTTCATCTCGTAACGTCCCTACCGAGATGAGTGGATGGGGAGACTATGATCAAATGACGTGGGATCAAAGAATGGCATATGATGTATACGGTGCTTCAACGATTCAGTTTAACCCACCACAGCCATTTAACGATCTTCCCGAAGCTTTGACCTCGTATCAACCCGATGCGGATGAAGATCCGACCTTTTATCAGCCTGATGCAGATGAGTATCCGAATTATCAGCTAGCTCATCTTCTCATTCGGCGTATGATGATCGGGTTACCCGCCTCGAGAAACTATTGGAGGAACGTGAAGCAGAGGCTCGAAGGCGGGATGAAGAAGCTCATATACGGGATGAAGAGCAAAGAAGAACAAGAGAAAGGTTGGAAGAGATGGAACGACAAATGCGTATTTTCAACGCCACCTACCGTCCATCCATGCACATACAGCACCCCGAGATGACTCCACAAGTTCCCTTCGCGGGCAATATGGGTAATATGGGCAGTAGGGGTTTTGCTAATTATAGCCATATCTCCAACAACTTTCCATATGGATATTATGATGATATCCCTTTAGCGACTCCCGGAGCTCAAGCATACCGTGGCAGCAGCCGTGCTGGCAGCTGCGGTGGCAGTCGAGGCAGCCATCGTGGTGGCAGCCGTGCCACGGAAGGCAACCCGATCATCGTGACGAACCTGATGATGATGATGATT